AATCGTGACACATGTAAATTCAAGATTTAGCAAAGCTTATTCCCAGTCATTATGCTGTGAAACAGTGACACAAATTAAAGTAATGATAGCATAGCATGTTCCTGGTTGTTATGCCCCCGCGAAACTGTGGCAAGCTCCCTGTCATTATGCCCCCCCCCACGGAACAGTAGCACCAATCACAAATCCATAGCATATCATGTTCCCAGTAATTAAGCCCTCTGTGGAACAGCACCCCAAAATTTAAGTCATAGAGCATTTTCAAAACGAGAGGATTTGGCTTAGACTTTGGTTTTGCAGGTTCCGGTCAAAGCTTGAACATGTGGTTTCGAACGCTGCTTCAAAATGGCTGTAACCAGCGAAACCAGAGTCTAAGCCAAATCTACTTATTTCAAAAATGCCCATAGTTTCATAGTGTGATGTTCTAGGTTATGCCTCCCATGGAACACCATCACAAAATAATTAAAATCTATGATGTCTTCTAGCAAAGTTTTTTGCATCTTGGCGTCCTCCTGGATATCTCATACCATCACATGTACCTGGACAAGTGAGGAATATAGTGTGTGTCAAATTCAAAACTAAATGCCTGCGGGCATAACGATTACGAAATTAACTGATGAAAGCCTTAATTCCTTGAGAGAATGGAAAAACGCTTCAAGAATATTAAGTTTTACCTCAAAAGAAACCTTGCCTGAGGTCTATGCTGGTGTCCAGAATTAAATTCTACCAAGTCCACGAGGGTCCAAGTCCAAGCTGAGTCCAAGCCAAGTCCGAGTCCATGTTGTTGAACCCGAGTCCCAGTATTGCCCTCCTGAGCCCAAATCGCGGACACACCAAGGATTTTGTTTGTTTTGGCAACATAACAACAATGGTATACATTTAACCAGGTCGAGTTTCCGTATTCTTTACTCTTACCCGACACCGGTTCCTGCTAATTTTTCTTCTGTTCTTAGTCCCGCTCCACCTTTCCGTACGCGTACGCTGTAGAGCATGTACTGAGCGCTGCGGCTCTCCTTTCTCGATCTCTTGCGTGCAAATATTTATAGCGCCCTCTAGCGATTCACAAAACTTTTTTTTTTGGTCACTGCGCGCATCTCCAAAATTTAAGAAAGTCATTCTTTTGTCTAAATTGAA